CATCCACATCCATCCAGGTGCAGGGATAAGGTGACCTTGATTTTCTGAGAATGAATGTTATTATGGCTACACATCTCCCAAGCTCCATACCACTACCCCCTCTCAGTTTCCTATAGTAACTATATTTGAATATGTGGCAGGTTTGAGGCCCTATCCCCCAATGGCTTCCAAGTCTGACAGCAGAGCTAACTCACTGCTCACTCCAAGAGTTCAGTTCTGAGCAGGTCAAGGTTGACTCGGCCTTCCATTCTTTTGAGGTCGATAAAATGAGAACCCAGATTGTTGGGGGCAATAAGCTGACTCTGTAAACCACTTGGAGAGTGCTGTAAAGCACTGTGAAGCGGTATATAGGTTTAAGCGCGATGGCTACTGCTATTTGCCTATAGATCAGAAAATAATTGGTGCAAGGTTATTTAGATGGGCTTCTGCCTAAGGTAGGAATAGAATTCATGGTCTTTCTTCTAAGTTTTTAACTTAGTGCCTTAACCACTAAACTGGCTCTCATGGGCCACTCGACTAGGCCTGTCAAACTGGCAGCCCGCAGGGCAGATGTGTCAAATGCAGGCTACGCCCATCCTGGCTCTGCAAAGACAAAAAACTTCCACGATATATGCCATGACACGAACAAATTAGATACCCATTCCAGAGTGCTCCTTGGGGCTGGGGAGGGCAGAAATGAGTAGGAAATGGGCCATTTTTTGCTCCATTTTGGCCAGCCATCAGGAGCACTCTATAAGCCTCCTAAAGGCGATGCATGCCCTTTTTTTTGACAAAACAGGCCCATTTTTGCAAAAATTGGCCATTTTTTTGCTCATTTTTGCCCCCCCCGCCCCCAGGAGCACTCTACAAGCCTCCTAAAGGCTGTGCAATACTGTTTTTGGGAGGTTTGCAGAGTAAAAAATCTTTTTTTTAAAAAAAAATTGCCTCTTCAAAATCTTGGTGTGTCTTATACTCCGGTGTGTCTTATACTCAGAAAAGTATGGTAAATATGGCTGAAGAATAATCCCACCCAAGAGGGAAGAATTTAATCAGCTTTTTGACTAATTACATGCCTTCCTTCCTCATCAGATGCTGTTCCCTTCGGACAGAAAAAAGGTGATACAGAAGTTTTCCCAGGTGCTGCTGCTTCTGCATTTTTTTACCTACCAGTTTTCTATTTATTAGAAGGGGATTCCCTTTAGAAATTATCTTTAAAAAGATGTTATTATAAAAATTCTCATGTGGAGGCTAGTGTTCTTATAAATTTTTAGCTACAAGGTAGAAGAGAAATGTGAGTGAAAGGCTTGGTGCAATATTTCCAGGAATCTGAAATGAAATTTAAATATGATTTAAATAGAAATTAGATTTCTATTTATAGATATAGAAGCACATAGAAGCACAGAATCATTGGGTTGGAATGAATCTTGGAGGTCTTGTAGTTCAACCTCTTTCCCATGGAAGGAATTCTCAGATTGTCCTAGACCAATAGCTAACCAGCCTTGGATTGAAAACCTCCAATGGTGGAGCCCCCACAAGTCCAGGAGGCAGACTGCCCTTAATGCAACTAACAACCAAAATTGAGCCCAAAGTTTCTGTCACTAATTAAGGCATTTCTTAAGTGAGTTTTGCCTCATTTCATGACTTTTCTTGCCACAGTTGTTAAGTGAATCATTGCAGCTGTCAAGTTAGTAACACGGTTGTTAAGTGAATCTGGATTCCCCATTGACTTTGCTTGTCAGAAGCTCGCAAAAGGTGATCACATGACTTCAGGACACTGCAACCATCATAAATATGAACCAGTTGCCAATCATCCAAATTTTGATCATGTGATTATGGGAATGCTGCAATGGTTGTATGTATGAAACATGTTTGTAAGTTCCTTTTCTTAGTGCTGTTGTAACTTTGAACAATCACTAAATTAACTGTTGTAAGTTGAGAAGAACCTGTAATTCTCCCACTCAGGAATTTATCCTTTTTAAAAAATTTGAATCTCTCTGTGTAAAGCTTACATACTGTGGTTCTTGCTGTATCCTCAGGCAGAGCAGAAATAAATCATTCTGATAGCCCTTTATGTACATTTTGCATAGGCAAAACTTCCTGAGTTTCCAGGTGTTAATGTGGAGATTGTTGTTCCTTACAAAGATATGGGAGTTTCGCCCTTTCTCTGAGGTGTTTATATCTTGGCAGAGAGTCAGATAGTCAAAATAGTTCATAAGGCTTGCACTATAACAATTTTTTGGCATGGAGTTACTCCAAACAAACATTGCATAATTCATTCAAAATGTACTGTGCATCCTTCACGCAATCTTTTAATGTTCTTCTTTAACTTCTCTTCTTTTTCCAAAGCTATCTTCCAATGGCTTTAATGTAATCTTTGAGCTATCCACCATCTTTGTGGGGGGTTTCCCCTCTATATTTTAAAAGTGATTCTGGATTACTAATTTAGATCATAAAGTCAGGTGCAAAATCCCGAGTCATGTCTAGAGCTAAGGAGAAATTTCCTGACTATTAGAACAATCAGTGGAACAACTTGCCTCCAGAAGTTGTGAATGCTCCAACACTGGAAGTTTTTAAGAAATGGTTGGATAACCATTTGTCTGAAATGGTATAAGGTTCCTGTAAGGCCTGGCCTCTCCTTCTTATTCAAGAAAGTAAAGACTTTTAAAACTTAGCATTTCAAAAGGAACCTTTTATTGAATATATGGGATAGCAGGGCGAAAGCAAATCAGGCTCTGAGGCCATACAGTTAGAATAAAAGGAATTAGAAACCCCTCCCAACCATCCAGTGTGGATTCAGCCAATCCGCAGGTATGAAGATGTTATTGTAGCAGCCGCTCTGAGAAAGTGATAAGGGAACTTTCTCAGGGTCATCATCTGCCAGCTTTCGAGCAATACAACCCACATGTCCCTCCCTCTTCTTACATTCCCCAAAAGATGAGAAAATGCCAGCGCAGCACTTAGGTGCCAGGCTAAAGGTTATAAATCAATGGTTATAGGATGCAGGATATATAGGACAGAGAGTAATAAAATATAAAAGTATACAAAGTACAATAAAGATGCATGCTGAATCAGGGTCCCTCTCTTCCTCTGAAGAATGGCAGATTCATGGATCTGACAGTTCCTGCTTGAGCAGGGGATTTGGACTAGAAGACCTCCAAGGTCTCTTCCAACTCTATTATTATTATTATAACATAATACATTATTATTATTATTATTATTATTATTATTACTTTATGTTCCAATTAAACTGATTTATTGCTCATACCTAGGCACAAGAATCTAGTCAACTACCGGTCAGCACTATTTTGGTGCCAGATAAGGGTTATTGGAATTCAAGAGGAGATGGACTTTGATGACTTGTGGAAATGTAGAGAATCTAGGTTGATTCCTCTTTTGACTCTGTCTCCAGACCCTGCTACTCTTTTACTTTATTAAAATCCTAAAGCAAGTCTGAATCTTGATTTTGTTTTTTGCATGCAGGCTTTCTTAGTATCAAGCGGCCTTTTACTGTCTAGGCATAAACACAGACTTGCAATTTCTTGTTCCAGCTACTGTTCAAATAGTTGTCCTCACCTGCTTATTATGTTCCCTTTTTCTGTGCTTTATGTACTTCCTTTTGTTTATCCAGAAAATAAACAACATGATGGGTGTGTATGTCTGTGGTGCTCTAATTGAAGGGGAAAAAACCCAAGCCTTTTTAATAAGTAGAAACCACAATCTCTACTTTGAACCAAATTCATTGTAACTGCACGGGGAAGAATACCAGATGCTGTCCATTTGGCAGTGGACTCTGCCCCTCAAATCTTTGTACTGTAGGCATGACATCATCTTCTCAACTGGTGAGTGGTATTTATTTCAAAGATCTTTTTTTTTACTGGAAAACTATGAAGACATCAATAGAGATCCCTCTGAGGAGAACAAATGCCCTGCGTTGTTACTGTTTGAACATCACCACAAAAGATTCCATTCAGATCAAGAGTGTACATGGATGTGAGTGAGAACTGTCAGACAATAAGAGATCAGGATTTCTTTGTTTCACACACTGCATAATTCCATTGGAACATTTCCACAGAGGCCCAGGAATCAGTGTGGAAATTTGGGTAGTTTTCAGCTTGATTTACTTCAACACTTGTGGTTTTGCGAGTAAAATTGCCTCAGGTATCGCAATTCTATTGTTGTACATTCTTATGTAGAACAATGTACATAACACACGTGTACATTGTATATTATGTACATTATAAATAATACAATGTATTACATATAATGTACATAATACACAATGTAATATATAATAATATAACAATGTACATAATACAACTCTGATAAACATATACACTAAAATGAAATGGAAGCCCACAGGTATGATCACATACTCATGTTATAATAATCTCTGCATTAATAGTACATATTAATTCTCTCTTGGAAGTGCTTTGGCTTCCATGCACAGATTTGGTGGGGGTGGTGGGGGCTAATTAGTTGTCTTACTAATTAGTGGCCACACAGATGCTCTGTAGTACAGTATTGTCAAATAGGCATTTGGGTGTAAAGATAAGCATTTGGGAAAGACAGGAATAAGTACCATCAATCAATGGTCTTGTCTGGTGGGGAATTATAGGAAGGGTCATCTAACAGAACTGAAAGGCACCAGGTGGAGAAAATGTCTTAAATTAGGAAGCTAGCTTTCTTCCTCCTAAACAAAAGCATCAAATGGAAGGCAAGCCATTTCCTAAAAAGAGAATCTGTTGGGAATGTGGGGAGGTACCCAGAAATCGACTTTTAAAAAGTGTATTTAAAGGACCACGAAAATATTACGGTATCCTCACGAGAAATGAAGCGCTGCGGCAGGGAAAACAAAAGGCACCGCGTAGTTCCATCAAAGCAACCAGCCCCCAGAGCGCTGGCATCCGGCTACCGTGGGGGATCCCTTCCAGGGGCAAAAATCCGGCGACCTTTTCGGTGCGAAGACCCAGAAAGCTGCTGTCCAATCGGGCCCCGGAGGGGCGGGTTTGGAGGCCGGCCCAGGCTGATCGTTCGGTAGGGGACGGCGCTCAGTCCGCCCGGACCACTGGCTGCAAGAGAGAGCGAGAGCTACTCTCGGTTCCTTGAGGCTGATGCTGGTGGGATGGATTCCGCTCCGAGGTTCTTTAGCTGGGACGAGATCAAGTCGTGCCGGGCGCCGGAGCGATGGCTGGTGATTGACAGGAAGGTCTACGACATCAGCCAGTTCCACAAAAGGCATCCGGGGGGTTCCCGCGTGATCAGCCATTATGCTGGACAAGACGCCACGGTGAGAGGGAGAAATGAGAAAGAGAGGTGGGGGGGAGAGAAAGGAAGGAAGGACGTCTGTCTGGAAAAGATCCCTCTGAGCTGTCGGGGACCTTGGAGGGAACGTGAGAGGCGGGGCGGCAGAGATCCTTTGTGAGCATCCTCTGGTTTGATGGTGGAGGCTGGGAGAGCACTCGCAGAGAGCTCGATTGGAAGCATGGGTGGAGAGATGCTTCAGAGACAAGATGTTTAGGGACATGCAGAGCAGAGTACCTGAAGCTAAACGAATGAGCTTCCATATATCACAATCCACATTATGCATTCTTAGAAATTATCTCCATGCTGCCCAGGTGTTCCCAGGAAGAGCACTGTGGTCTGCACCTTCCTTCAATTATGTTAGAAGGCTCCACCCAGCCAGGCTGTTACATGGCAAAGCTTTCCTGTTCTCCTAGCAAACAGAGTGTTATGGTCTATTTGTTATTTGGATCAAAATTAAAGAAGGGTCCACAGTAAGCCTCTGCTCTGGCAACAAGGTGCAGGAGAGCTGACAGCAGCTACTGTGTGGTGAAAGAAAGAGCACTGCACATGTTCAGAAGCAGAATGGCTTAATGTCTGAGTTCTGAGGTGAGCAGTGATTTCTAAAAATTCAGAGTTATCGAATGACTACCAGGATGAAATAACTTGTTTAAAAGTTCATGGAAGGGAAACTTTTTAATGTGGCATGAGTTTTCCTGGACTAGACGAAAGCTTGTACAGTACTATATTTTCACACCCATAAGACCCTAATCCAAGAAAATCATTGCTAGAATGTTCCCTCCACTGAATAATGTTTATGATTAAAAGTAAGATGAGGAGGACGAGAACAAAGAAGACTGTGTATGTGTGGAATGTTGACATTTACCTTCTTATGCCAAAAGCAAAAACTCAATTCCTGGATCAGAGGTACGGTAAATAATTTTCTGCAACCTCACAAATGACTGAGTAGACACTGACCAACATAGTAAAGGTCCTGAAAGGACTTGTATGTTTCTCCCCCTCCACTCCTCATCCTTCTTGAGTTTTGGATTTTAACTTAGTCCATCACTTCTGGAAGATGTTCTGTTTGGAAGCTATGGTACATTTTTGCTTGGAATTTGCGCCAGATTTGTTGCAGCTCCAGTGGCTCTCTGAATGTGGTAGATCTCTGACCATGTGCAGGGAGTCTTATTGCCACCTACAAGCCTTCAAGGTAGCTGAAGCATGAGTCACTTGAGTTATGTTCCCTGAGAGACAGTAGAGCAATTGGACTATGAAGATATCTCTAGCTCTTTCTAAGAACACCCACATGGTAAATAGCATCGTAGACCATGAGCCTCCATTCAATTTTCAGCCAGTGGAAATGAGAATTCAGAGAATGTAGCATGGGCCCTTCCATAAAGTGGCTACTACTGTGGAGGGCATGATCAGTGATAGTTATCAGAATGTAACATGCTGAGGTTTTTCCTGCCACCACCCAAGATGTTGTCTATTATCATAGCTACCTTTTCTGTGGCTAGAGGGTGAAACAACTGTGGTCACCCACATTATTATTTTCTTAGAATGCCTGGGGGTTTTGTGGCCTCAGAGTCATTCCTAGAAATAAAGATAAAATAATTGACCTTGATAATTTACAGTATCTAACTGTTATGAACTGAAAACAATGAGAAAAAAACCAGTAGTACATGTTGCTGGTAAATACCAGGGAGGAATTAGCACACATACTAGCATCCATAGGTACCATAGGCATTAGAATATATGTCCAAGAACAAATTGAACTTTGATGTTATATATGGTGACAGCAGCAGCAATATTTTATGCATAAAAATGGAAGTATACTTTAATTCCCACAAGGGATGAATAGCTGCAAAAGTTGATGGAGTTAGCAGAGATGGTTAAATTAATTGTTTGACTAAAAAAAAAGATTTTTCTTTTTTTCTCCCCTTTACCCTTTTTTCCTCTTCCCCCTTTCCTCTCTATTTTTCCATTATTTTCATTTTCCTTTGTATTTCTGTATTTTATATATTGATGAACTAATAAAAAATATTTGAACCTAGGCTTTAGAACAGGGGTCCTAGGGCCAGATCTGGCCCTCAGGGTGCTTAAATCTGGCCAGTGATCGCCCCCCGCTGCCTGAAATGGGCTGAAAATGGGGTGTGTGGAGGCCGAAAACGGGGCACGTGGAGGCCGAAAATGGGGTCTGCAGAGGTAGCAATAGGTGGCGGTGATCCCCTGGAACAACTGATAGTTGGTGTTCCGGGAGGCTGATCCAACTGCCAATCAGCTGCTCATGCTAAATCAGGATTTGCTGAAGCTGACCAGGCTGTTTACTGTTTGCTGCAAGGAGGCAAATTGCTGGGAGGCAGAGGCAGAATTTTTTTCTTGTTTTCTTCCCCAAAAGCTACAATTGTCTTATAGTCCAGAGTGTCTTATAGTCTGAAAAATATGGTAGGTTTAGAAATAAAAGGTTTAGTGGTATATGAAGAATAAGTAATAAATGTTTGGCAATGATATCTGGTAGAAGAGATAGGAAAATGGTTATAGTAAAGAACTGTGGAAAGAAAGAAGAAAAGAGAAAAAACACAACTTGAGCTTGTCAAATGCAGGGTGACCATGCCCACCCCTAGCCACACACATCCCAGCCCTCCAAGGTCAAACAGAACCCTGATGCGGCCCTCAATGAAATCGAGTTTGACACCCCTGCTTTAGAATATATGTCCAAGGAAGGCTGTAGTCACCTTTATATATAAAAATTATAATGTGGATCCTCTACTGGAAAACTTTCAACCTAGCCATGCAAAGAAAGAATATTTTCTCTGGTTCACACATACTGTTGGAATAACAAGCCTTCATAAGGCCAAGAGAAGGATCACCCCTCTCCCCCAGTGAAGAATATTTAAGAAGATTCAATCCATTCTATGATTGGGCATCTGGATCAGGGGTGGGTTCTGGCTGGCTTTACTGCTGGTTCGCTTGTGTGCGTGCTGGATGAATTGTGCACATACATGCACAATTCAATTAAACTTGTTCTGCGCATGCACATAACTTTAAAACAAGATGGTGGCACCAACGGCACCAACTGGAGAACCAGTTTGGGGGTGTGGCTGCTGGCTCCAGCGACCCATGCCACCATGCCACTACCGGTTCGGCCAATTTGGTAGGAACTCACCTCTGATCTGGATGTTACTATTTCCATGAATATTTCCCCTGACATTTTTTCTCATCTAATATTTTGGAAAAGCTTAGTTATCATGTAATTTTACAATAATCAATAGGAAGCTAATATGTAATACTCTTAAGTGGCTAGCTTAAGAGGCCAATAAAATAAAATAAAAATAATAATAAAGATAATTGTTTGAAGCCCTAACAATTGCCTTTGGAACTAGTAGCTCTAAGTGCATAGTGTTCTGTTTCCAAGGACAAAACTGTACATTATAATCAGGAAGAAGTTCTTGGGTTGTGGTATATCATTTCAGACTGTAGGCAATAACTTTTACCCTTGTATGTCTCCTCTTGAAAAAAGGCCTCTTGCCAATAAAAAAAATCCTGAATGTGACTGGGATGAGCTAAAGGCAATCCTTTTCTTCAATTTACTAAGGAAAAAAACCAACTACCAGGAGCAACACTAAGTTTTCAAGTGGTAGCTGTTGGTCTTTGTTATCTTTGATCTTATGCAACAGCACCTAACAAGCTTCTCCTTTTCCTGAAGCAAAGCACTAATTCTTCTTGTCAAATAGAATATCAGCAGCAATTCTCCAGTGGGGATCTTCTAGGATCAACTGGTTCCAAGACCTGAATTTAGGTTGTCCTCCATGCTTAACATTGCCTTAACATTGCCTTAACATTGCCTTAACCATTGAGCAATGCTCTTTTATTCCTAACCCTCCCCCACAACAAGTCTCTGCAAAAACTTCTTTGGCTTTGCTTCCCCACATTCAGATTGCCATATAATGTCCAATCAGGATTCTTGAAAGCAGGACTTGTGAAACAAGCCATTGTAAGTTTGCACGCAAGATGTGGAAAGCGCTAAATGCATTCATCAAGTGTCTTTCTTGTTGGGATCTGAGGCCATTGAACTGTGAAAAAGAGTGACTTGGCTTTTTTATTATTTTGAGCTGGAAAACACCAAAGCCAGTAGTGTAAGCCCTACAATACACCTTATGCAGGGGTGACATCCTCCTGGTTCGGCCCAGGTCGCCTGAGGTGGAACTAACCACTAGATCAAACTTCCTAAACTTCGGAAAAAGCTCCCCAAATCTTGACCACATCCGTGTATACATATAAGCTCATCTATCTATGTATATAAAAACAGCTATGTGTGTGTATGTTGGGAATTGATATACAGATGACTTACTCTCTGGAAACAAATACTGTGAGGATAAGACACTCCTAAAACCTCTCGGGGTATGTATTCTGTTAAAATTCAGCCTGTTGTGCCTTAAAATGGCTTCTACGGTACAGCACAGTGGAGTTGCCATGGTAACGGCTTCACAGTACTCCACATGGGGAGTACTGTGAAGGGGGAAAATCCAACATTAAAAATTATGTTTGATCTGGACATTTCCCCCCATAAATAAATACCCAGGTAACGCCGGGTTATCAGCTAGTTCACTATAAATCAAGGCCCTTGTCCTTCTCAAAAATGGTCAGTGTGGACTTTATCTCCAGAAGTTTATATTATTTGAATATTTTACATATTCAGGCATGTACTGTAAATGGCTTTTTAATTAATGGGCTGGATATATTAATATGATATTCCAGGTAGAAATTCTGGATGAAGTATTTTATATTAGTAATCTGGATATAATTTTCACTTTTCTTTAAGCTTTGAGAACAACTTTTCTAATGCTGGTGTATTTTCTTGACAACATTCTGAGCTTTTCTGATACTTTTATGACTAAACATGACAGTGAAAAATAGTTTTTTTTGTTGTGACCTGTTGGAAAGATTTTGTAGCAGCATAAGGGCGATTTGGCTCATGGTGCAGAAGACAAAAAACTCCGAATAGCTGATTTTTAGAATGCTGTATTGATTGATTGATTGATTTCTCACTCTTGCCTCTGAGATTGGAAGCTAAAATTTTCATTTGCTTTAATGTGCATTTAAAATCCAACTTTTTTTGCTGAGAATAGTCACTGCTGAGCTGCCATTTATATCTAAATTAAGTCTTCTCTTCACTGATAGGATATTTCGCTCAAATTTAATTTAAGCCTCTATCTACAATTTTCCTTAATCCTACTAACAGAGGGGAATCATGTCTACATTTAATATTTAATGTTTAATTGGACTCTGGGCAGTATTCAGATTTTTTTAATGCACACAGTGAACCTATTATCAAAACCCAGTCCTTGTGATTTTGCATTGCAACAATCTTTCAACCACTCAGAATTTCTGAGAAATATTAGGGCAAAGTATCTCTCTCTATTTCTGAGAAACATTTCATGGGCCTAGTTCACCACAAACATAGCAAAAGCTAAGCCTATACGAGCCTCCTGGACCATATTGTTCAGAGGTGCACAAATTATCTTAATAATCTAAGACAATTTAGTTTACTAGAGAGAAATAGATGCTTTAGTCTTAATGTAGCTGGAGCACAATGCTTTTTGTAATCTGAAACAAAGCTGCTCATGTAAAGAATGGAAATATTGGAATAATTCTATTTTTTTTAAAAAAGTAAGACCTTTTTCACTAAGAAAAGCAAGCAAGCTTATTTTTAAAAGAAAAAAAATGTCTACAATCAGACCCTCATTTGTGTCTTGTCGACACACAAAGCACTGTGATTCTAAAAAAAAAGTGCTGTGGAAATGATCTGTCCATCATTGCTTCCCTCGTCTTCATTTCAGACATTATTGCCAGGTTTTACATCCACCATTGTTGATGATTGGTTGAAAATTATGGTACCACAGTCTTCAGCTCTGGCTGTGACCCACCCACTTTCCCATTTCTAGTTAAAAAAAAACCTGGCCAGGAAATGACAGTCTTCTCACTCTCGCTCCCTTCAGATATACTTTACCAGGGAAGGTTTGGTGTTTTTTCTCTCTGATGAGATCCGGGAGCTCAGCTGGAAGCTGCAGTATCAACAATAGGATTAAAGCCCTTTCTTGGTGCCACACCAATTAAAGGACTAATACTGCCCAATATGTACAACAGCAGGTCAGCATGTCCTGAGCTGGCGTTTCTGGACTTTGGTACATATCTGGAGAAAACTACTCCTATGGTACAGTAGGATGTTGGCAGCTTAGAGAGAGTGTGAGCTACTTACAAATGTAACAATGAAAGTCTCAAGCGTTTAAAGAAATTTAATCTGTACCATGTATTCATGGATTCAACACTACTTCATAAAGCATTTTTTTTTTTGTGTAGCCCATCTTTCATCATTTCTATCTTCTACTTGTAGAAAGAATTGCCCAGGAGGTAATGATGGAGGAGACAATTTATTCTAAGTATAGAGAGTTTGATAGTGGTTCAGGTGCTATGAACACAGTGATCAGAAAGGAAGTATTATTCGGAATATATTCTTGATGATAACCAAAGTTTTCTGTCATCAGTAAGCTAATTGTCACAGGAAGATACATTTATTTTACTCATTGCCAAAGGCTATCAACCTTGACATAAAATAACAATGCTGTATGTATGTATGTATGTATGTATGTATGTACGTACGTACGTATGTATGCCTGCATGTAGGTATATATTTGCATCTACATTAAAAAATGAAATCATATTATTGATTCATGATGCTTGTGATAAAACTGACTCATTTGATCACTCAGCTGTTTTGTCAGTCTAAAGTTCTTTTGTTTGAGAATAGACATTTTAGACAAAATATAATAATCCAGGAAAAAAGGTTTCTATAGCAGCATCTAGTGGCCAAAAGTAAACCCTGTAAAGTAGGGATTTAATTGTCTTGGCTTCCATTCAGATTCCTTTCAGGAACTGCCAAAAAAAAATGCAAAGGATTTCAAATCAAAAGGAAGAAGCCATTGGAACCAATGTGCTGGCTGGAGACTAGTGCTTAAGACTAGATGCTTCAAATGATTAAACCAAGGCAGAATTTAAACTAAATGAGGAAGAGCAGAGAGGGAGAACCAGACTCTTTTTGGTGGCTTTTTTGTTTGTTTGTAATTTTAAAACTTGGACTTGTGTGAAGGTTACAGGAGAAACTATTTGGACAACCATGTGAATTATGTGGGGATAATGCCAATTTATTATAGGAAAAAATAGCATGAGTCTAAAATGAAGCTAATAAAATGGAAATCTTTAACCACCACAACCATGTTTATTCAACATTTTGCTGATTCAACAAGAGATAACAAAATTTGCTCCAGCTTTAAGAGTTGAATGGATTCCTTCAATTTCATTTTCCCCCAGGTTAATGGTTAGATTCCTTTAATAAAAAGCAGACATCTTCTGAAACAAAACCCAAAGATTTGTCTTATTGATCATTTTGGGTGGACACATAGCCCTATTATTTTTGTCTGGTTCTGTTTTTGTTTTTCAGGATCCTTTCACAGCATTCCATTTGGACAAGAATCTAGTGAGAAAATACTTGAAGCCTTTATTCATTGGGGAGCTTGCAGCAGATCAGCCCAGTTTTGAACCCAACAAAAATGTAAGCTATTCTGAGAACTGCCTTGAGAAAGAGATCTTTGCTGATGCTACTCTATGAGGAATCTGCAGTAAAAAAATTGGGAACAAAATTAAAGATCCCTTCCTTTGGTGGCCTCCCTAAAATGGGAAACACACAAACATACTGTAAGGAGGAATGGGATGTGTTGAGAGGCAGTTTTCAGGTGAGAGAAGACTGTGTAGTACCAGAACAAAACAAAAATGATGAATTAGAATTTCAAAAAGATCTAGGAGATGTTTGAAGCGAGAAATATTAACTGTCTAAGATGTAAAATGTCTCCTATATTCATGTGCTGTCTCTCAGAGCAAAGAAATTTAACTTGGAATGATATCTCAGTAGGAATGGGCTTTTAAAAATATATACATTGATGAACATGGACATAGCCACACACTTTGCATTGCAGTCTTTTGTCATGAAACTACAACAGGGATGGCATCACTCTAAGCTAAATTGAGTAGCACCAGGACAAAACCCACATTTGTCTTTAATTTTATTAATGTAAAAAGTTGATTCAATTACTTGCCAAACATATATTGAATATTTTCCCCTTTGTATGTTTTTTTATTGTTATATTTTTGTCATATGAGCTGCGGTGGCACAGTGGTTAGAATGCAGTACTGCAGGTTACTTCTGCTACTTGGCAGCTGCCAGCAGTTTGGCAGATTGAATCTCACCAGTCTCAAGGTTGACTCAGCCTTCCATCCTTCCGAGGTGGGTAAAATGAGGACCCATATTGTTGGGGGCAATATGCTGATTCTGCAAACCACTTAGAGAGAGCTGTAAAGCGCTGTGTAGCAGTATATAAGTCTAAGTACTATTGCTATTTTGGTCATAATTTTTGGAAGACTTTAAAGGCTTCAGACTATTGTGGTCTTTAGATGTGCCCACAGCCCAAGGTGTCAGGTTGCCCACTTCTAAATAAAAAGTTGCCTTCAGAACAAATAAAGTATAAACACTGTGGTTTTTCATAGAAAGAACTTGTGGAAGACTTCCGTGAGCTCCGTGCCACTGTTGAAAAGATGGGACTACTGAATTCCAATCACCTCTTCTTCCTCCTCTCCTTTCTTCACATCTTGCTGCTGGATGTATTAGCCTGGCTCAATATGTGGTATTTTGGAACATCCTTGGTGCCATTCCTCATCACTGCTTTGCTACTTGGGACTGTCCAGGTAATCTGTTATCAGATAAAGGAGAGCAGGGCTTGAAGCTTAAAAAAAACAAAAAACCCTGAAGAGCTGTGGTAACTCCTCTGTGAGGAGAGGTATCTACTTGCATTACCCTAAATGTCTAATTCAGCTTTTCTCTCAAGATAAATGAATATGGTACTTGTCGCTTTTTTCATTTGGTCATCCTTGGTTTCCCATTTTGGACAATAATGCCCATTATCCTGTGCTCATTTATGCAAAGAAAGTTCCCTCCAAATTTGTTAATAATACTTGTTTTTCCTCAGAATTCTCTTTGAAGTCTACTTTTTCATGAAACTATTGATTTAACACAGGGCTGTCAAACTCCCGGCCTGCGGGCCGGATGTGTCACATGTTGGCCACGCCCTTACCCAGTTTAGCGAAGGGCAAAAAAGTCCCAATACATCACGTAACGCAGCTGTGACGGTGTGAGTTTGACACCCCTGGTTTAACTCCTCAGATCTAAGTCCATCTGCCTGTTAAGCTTGTGTATTGTCTTAATCAGATCTCCTTCTCTCCTCTTCCTTCAACCTTCTCTCTGTGTAATTTTTTGGGAGCAAAGACTTCGCAGGTTATATGGTAAAGCATTGTGTGCAGTCAAGGCATTGTAATCATGCTAGCTATGGCAATGTTTTCCAGACCCAAGCCGGTTGGCTACAGCATGATTTTGGACATCTTTCTGTCTTTGGCAAGTCTAAATGGAACCACTGGATTCACAAATTTGTGATTGGACATTTGAAGGTGAGTTTCATGAAAATGAGCTTTGCTCTTAGCCATGTCATGGCATTGGGGCTCAAGAGCGATTGGGCCCCTTGCACTCAGATTTTAATCTGCCTAGTCAGGAGATACTGTATTTTTCGGACTATAAAATGCACCATGATTTTGAAGAGGTAAATTTAAAAAAAGTTTTTGTACTCTGCAGGTCTCCCAAACCCTCTGCACGAGTTGTTTTTTACAAAAAGAAAAAGGGCATGCAGAACTTTGGGAGGCTTGTAGAGTGTTCCTGGGGGCTGGGGGAGGGCAAAAATGATCCATTTTTTGCTCATTTTTGCCCTCCCCAGCCCCTAGGAACACTTTGTAAGCCTCCCAAACCCTCTGCACATCCATTTTGGGAAAGGGGGTGGGATTTTGCTAGGCCAAAAATGCTGTATTCAGTGTATAAGACACACCCAGATTTTCACCCTCTTTTTTTGGGGGGGGGGGAAAGGTGCGTCTTATTCTCCGAAAAATACGGTAAATATCTGAAGAGGCCTCTTCATTTGCCTTGTTTTGCAGGGAGCACCAGCCAGCTGGTGGAATCACTGGCACTTCCAGCATCATGCAAAGCCTAACTGCTTTCGCAAGGATCCTGATCTCAACATGCATCCTTTGTTATTTGCCCTGGGAAAGATACTCTCTGTGGAGGTGAGACTTGTGGGATTTGGGGAATGTTGTATGAAAAGGGAAATTTTGCACGAACCCTGAAGCATCAACTTTTTAATGGAGCCCCAACATACTTTTAGATCTTCAAAAATTGTTACCACTGTGTATTTTTGAATCTTAACAGAATGGAAAAATTATCAATTACATCATTGGAATAGTGATATGAACTAGGAAAATGAAATCTTCAAAAACTATTTTTTTTCCCCTGGGCCTCTTTACATGAGTTAATAGTTAAATGCTGTTGAAGTTTATTTTGTTATTTAGACTGATTCAGGAATTTTCATACAATTTCAAATAAAAAAGCACAGTTATGTAGATTTATGTGAACACTGGCCTTTTTTTTTGTATATATTTGACATAACATAGTGGATAAGATTAAGTATCATAATTGATATTGGTCAAAACTACAGCTTTAAAACAATAAAAAGACTAAAAGTTTGCGTTGACTTTAAATATTTTTAAATGGCTACGTTTTAAATCTCATGGAAGTAAGGATAGCTGACTTAAAATAAATGAAAATATTGGGAAATCTGAGTGGCAAATGGGTTGAATTTTTTTAGTTCAGGTCAAAGTTCAGTGTAAAAATAGAACACCAGAGGTTAAGGTACTTTCTAGTTTACTTCATAAAGAGTCAGACCAGAGGTGGTATTTAGCAGGTTCTGACCAGTTCAGGAGAACCAGTTGAGGACCAGTAGTAAAACCAGTAGCAACCCACCCCTAGTATCCTTCCCCTGCCATGCCCACCATGCCACACCCACCAAACCATGCCACGCCCACCAAGCCACGCCCACAGAACCGGTAGTAAAAAAAATTGAATCCCACCATTGAGTCATACATATGACTGTTTGTACTTTGAGCTTAAGTTGTGGGTTTTTGTCAGTGCCATGAACTTTTGCTGCAGAAAGAGCAATTTTGAAATGAAAGTTGTAGAGCTGGAGATGCTTAGACAGCCAGACAGGTACACACTCAGGAGCTTTTGGAATGTGATGGCTCACTTCACTCCCAAGAGGAAAACTTCTTTCCTTTCAGGGAGATAAAAGGAAGGGCTTGGGGAAGGAGGATATTATTTCAGAGGATTGTTCCCAGAAAGGGGACCTAATTCTTAGACAGATGCATCTATATCTTCTCATATTGAGACTAATCAATTGGGGGAGTAAATCCTGCCTCCCCAACTTTCTAGATTTTTTTGAGAATGTCAGCATGCTCAGAGGTGGTATTCAGCCGGTTCAAACCGGTTCAGGTGAATCGGTATCAGAAATTTTGAGTAGTTTGGAGAACCGGCAATTACCACTTCTGGTTGGCCCTGCCCCCATCATTCCCTGTCCTATATTCCCTTGTTTATTTAGCTCAGCTGATTTGCATAGCAGAGTGGATTGCCATTCCGCAGCTGAGCTAAACCACAGCTCAGCTCACCAGTGCTGACACTGTGGGTGGTCTTTGAGTGCTGTGCACGAGTGCGAAGCATGCATTAGGTGCGCGCGCACAAAGCACTCTCTCATAGAACCAGTAGGAAAAGATTTGGAATCCTACCACTGAGCATGCTATTAACCTGGATTTGCAAAAAGCCTTTAAGAAAATTTCTCATCGGAGACTCTTGAGGCAAATCTAGTAGCTTATAGATCAGAGGACCTTTTCTTTGCTTGATTGCTTGTTGGTTAAAAATCAGAAAGTGGTGAGGTGGCCAAGGCTGCACATTATTCTAATTTGTTCAGGATAATAAAAGCCAAAAATGTTGGGGGCATCCAATCTTAGAAAGAAGGCAACTGAAAAGGAACATGCCTGAACATGTGAAATCATGTGTAATGTGGAGAGAATGTAGTCAGAGAGAAATTTTCTCCTTTTTTGAAAAGATAAGACCAGTAGTCATTCTATAAAGTTGTTTGAAAGGAAGTTTAAAATAGACAAAAGGAAACACTTCCTTGAACAATGCATTAATTAACTTTGGAGTTTCTACCACAAGGCTGCATAGTGGCAGTTAACAGCTTGGTTTAAAAGGAATTGGCTACATTCATGAAAGACTAGTCTGTTAGTATTGAACATTATCACACAGTTGTGTGTGGGGGGGGACATACCAGGTGCAGTGACAGTTAGGTTTCCATGTGCTGTTTGGAGGCACCTCAGAAAAATCTGCTTGGCCAGAAACAAACTGCTGGAATAAGATCAACCACTTAAGGGCTATTCTTAAATTCTTGTTGTATGTATTTATCCCCAAGTAAGTATGAATAGATTTGTTTCTGCATTTTCTAATGTGTTGCCTTGAATGGATTATTCATAATTTCCTTGACGACAGCTGCAGTAGCAGAAGCAGCAGCAGCAACAAAAACCTATTAAAGGATTCCAGTTCTGTTAGTGGCTAGATTATGGATGAAAGAAATCATACAAAGTTGCACACAGTACCTCCTTTTAGGCTCATACTGCTTTGATTACTTAGGTATGCGAGAGTAGTTTGAACTCTTTCTTTGTCTGGGGGATTTCTTTCATCCATTAATTTTTTTTGCTAGCCAGATTTCATAGAAGAATCTCATTGGTTGTTAGCTGTCACTTTATTTGCCAGGATAAGCCTTATTAGAAATAAAGCAAAGTTGAAGTGTGTTTCCCTTTTTTTTCAAATAGTGAGAAGTACCAGGACAGTTTACTGGTTTTAGTTTCTTTTGGGTGGAAAACATTTGCAGACTAATGACATCTTTGCAATGTTATTTATAGAAATATAAAGGCAAGGTGCAAGAGAAGGGAAAGAGGGACTCAAACATGAGAGAAAACAATTTGCTCCCTTAGTTTCCTGTTTCACCCATCATGTGGGTTTAACTGTTTCCACCTAGAACCATATGCCATTCTCATTTCCTTCCAAGCTGACAGTTGTTCTCCCCTCTTTTTTTCTTTCATGTATATTTTTCCATCTTCTACATATCACCTACTAGGAGACACACACACACACACACACACACACACACACACACACACACACACACACACATATTAACTGATCATGAGCTCACAAGACAATAGGGGAAGTTGTTAATGCAATTCTCTGGAGGTTTGTATGCTGCCTTCCTGTGAGATAGTTTGCTAATCTGATTGCTCCTTCCTTTTCCTGGGGGTGTGGCTTTGTCATACAAGCTGAGTGCAGATACACAGGATCCAGCTTCTCTTGTAGGCCAAGAGATTACACTTTCTTGTATTCTCTACCTACCTCTTCAGTCAGTGGTGTACCAGGGGTGGGTTTCAGCTGGTACACACCGGTCCGTGCGTACCGCTTGGTGAAATTTAGCATGCCTTCCCGTACCTGAGCTTCCGGAGGCCCTGTACCAGAACACTCCCTCCCCTGCCCTGCCCCCCTGCTTGCTCCCCACCTGTCCTGTCGCTGCTCACTCGCTTACTCCCCCCGCCCACCCACCCAGTTGCTGCTTGCTTGTTTGCCCTCCCTGTCTGCACCAGACTTGCCCCGTCCAGACACTTTGGAGGATTGGGAGAAGCCCACGTGGCGCACGCTGTCTTCTCTTTGATAGCCACCTGGTTTCCAATGGGGGTGGGGAATCTATGCAGAGGGAGGAAAAATGCATGGATTTCTTCCCCACCCCCATTGGAAACCAGGCGACTGACAAAGAGAAGGGAGCACGCACCACGTGGGCTTCCCACAACAGCTGAATCCTCGCCGCCTGTTCCTTCTTTGGCTGTTGGACAAGCCCATGTGGTGCACACTGCTGTCTTCTCTTTGACAGCCACCTCGTTTCCAATTGCGGGGGGGGGAATCCATGCACTTTCCCTTCCTCTGCATGGGTTCCTCCTCCCCTATTGGAAATGAGGTGGCTCTCTCTCTCTCTGTCTCTGTCTCTCTCTCTCAGATACACACACATACACACACACAAACACACACTGTGCATGTGTAAAAGGGATTGGATCAGCTGGGAGCCAGTCAAAAAAGAAGCCTCTGTTTCTCCATTGCCGCAGCTCGCAGAGAAAGAGGGTGGGGATGATGGCCAGTGCTCGCCCCCTCACTGCTTTCTCAGCCAGCCACCCAGCCAGGCAGGGCTGTAGCTGGCAGGCCTCAGGGGCAAACAGTAAGTGAAGAGAGCGCCAGCCAGCATCCCTGCCTCCTTCCTCTGCGAGCTACGGCAGCAGAGAAACAGAGGCTTCTTTTTTGCCAGCCTCCCAGCTGATCCAGTCCCCCTTACACATGCGCCTTGCATTGCGGCAAGTGCAGTGTGTCTCTGTATGTGTGTGCGTGACATGCGTGCCTTCCATGGCATGCCCAACACCTTTGGACACCCACCAGGTCACCTGCTGTGCAGCAGAGAAATCTGGCTTTGGCAAAAGGAAAAAAAGCCGTTTGAAATTAGCCCTCTCTGCCGCTCTGCTAAAAAGGT